CACAAACAGAACTGCCCGGTAAACCGTAGGCAGAGAGAGAGAAGAGGACAACAAACGAGGGGCTGTGACAAACTGTTTCGTCGGAGTTTCTATATATATTCTGTTTGTGACGATATATATATATTCTGTTTGTGACGATATATATATATTTATATATATATATATATAGAGAGAGAGAGAGGGAGAGAGGTTTTTGAAGTACTGTGTATGAGATTGGATGTAGGGGGAACAAAGAAACACGGGCATTTTGTAGAAGCCATCAACACATATACATATATATCGTCACAAAATATATATATATATATACATAGTCACTTGGAGAGACAGGTTGGAAGAGTCTGTCTCACCTGCGCTGGTATCGAGACTCTGGTCCTTGAGGTACTTGACAAGTGGCACTCCAGCAATCATGGCACTGGACCACAGGGGCACACTATTGTCCCCATGCTCCCCTACGATGTATGCATGCACATTGTGTGCATTGATGTCTAGGATCTGACCCAACAAGAAACGGAACCTGGACGAATCTAAGTTCGTCCCGCTGCCAATCACTCGATGCGCTGGGAAGCCGGAGATCTTCCACGCCACGTACGTCAAGATATCCACTGGGTTACTCACCACCAGGAGGACGGCATTGGGACTGGCGTTGACCAATTTAGGAATGATGGCCTTGAAGAGCTGCACGTTGCGGCCAACGAGGGAGAGGCGAGACTCGCCTTCTCGCTGACGAGCTCCAGCAGTGATCACACAAAGATCGGAGTTGGCAGAGATGGCGTAGTCTGAGTCAGCAACGATCTTGACACGTGGCAAGAAGGCAGCTGCATGTTGAAGATCTAGCATCTCACCTTTCAGCTTGTCGGGTATCACATCAACCAGGGCCAGTTCGTCGCACACGCCTTCCGTCAGCATGGTCTGAGCACACGCCATGCCAACGTTGCCCACCCCCACCACCGTCACCTTGCGAACAGCAGAACTACTAGGGCCGACATTGCCAACGGCTAAGTCCCGCCCCTTGGTCTGATCAAGGGCAGCAAACAGTTTGCTGCGAAAATCAGCGACCGTGAGAGTTTTCCCCGATTTCGTGTCCACCGGAGCCTGAGCTTTTTCTGCCATCCCGTCCTCTTGCGCTTCCACCAACGGTACAGCTGCCACGTGTTTCTGCCACGTGTTTGCGTAAAAAATCGGTTTCTTGCCACTCTTCTCCGCTCCTTCTCGCGAACGAAATTACGCAAACCTCTCTCTCTCTCTCTCTCTCTCTCTCTCTCTCTCTCTCTCTATGTGTGTGTGTGTGTGTGGGTGGGTGGGTGGGTGGGTGTGGGTGTTTGTATGTATATATGGGCCTCGCCACTCCACTGTCGAAAAGCAAAAATAATCGACGGTCAAAAAAAAAAAGAAAAAAAAAAAATCGACGGGTGTCAGAATAAATTTGGCAGCCTCCCTTCCACAGTTTGGCCCCCTTTAGCCACCACACAGGACTGTGGAGTACACGCACTTGTGCATGCAAGATGGAGAAAGACGAGCCGACTGAGGGCGCGACAAACACTAGTCCGTCCCGACCTCACGCCCACTCACCAATTTTTTAATGAACAGAAGTCGATTCGATGGCGCAGCCGAGGACTATCGAAAGAAAGCATCGGAGTAGCAGCCTGCAGGCTGGGTGGGGATGCAATCAACAACTTTCGACTTTCGACTTTCGACAGGAGGTGTCGAAGAAGCTTCTCTGACGACTTGAAGAAGTACTTGCCGTCTTCAATCTCCCTTTTTTTTTTTTTTTTTTTTTTNGCCCCATGGGAGGACCCATGGGGTCGATCAGAGCTGATTTATCCTGGGTGGGCCTTGGGCCTTGAACCCAGAACCTTCATGGTGTAACACAGGGGCAAGAATGAAAAAAGGGCATGAGTTGTCAGTTTGGGGCGTTCGGAAAACCTTTTTTTTAGGAGAATTTTTCCTATTTTGGTAATGTTTGTCACTATTTAGCACCATGTCCCACAACTATACCGGAGTTTACTATATACACCATATTCGTTTTCTTTTCTTCGTAAATTTTATAAAAGAAATTATATATAGTACTGGTTAATATTTCGTGTACGGTGTCTAGGGGCGAGGTCCCATTCGCAAAGAGGATTGGATTCAGCTCCTGAATCTGGACGTGGTGTAAGCAGAGATGCAGAAAAAGCAGTTCGATCTCGAATTTCTGCACCTCTTGGCGAACAGGTCTAAGATCAGGTGTTCAATCCAATCCTTGTTGCTAGTGGGACCTCGCTCTAGAACAGCATTCGGGAAGCTGGGTCTACATGAACAGTAATTAGGGCATAGTCACACTAGCACTTTTTGACTTATTTCTGAGCGGAATTGCGGCCAGATGCATATAGATCCTGCCGTACATACGGTCAGATACATTGAAGATGGTGGTAGTGTCAGTAGTGCGCCCTTAGTAGCAGTACTGCGACGGTTGATGCCCAAGTGCTTCCCAGTTATACCGTGTTAACCCGAATAGAACACGCCCGGTCATTACATTACACCTGTATTTGGCGAAATTAGCAGTCTAGATACAGCCGGTTACCGAGCGTGCTAGTTGGTGGGTGGAGAGGGTAGTCTTTTTTTTTTGTTTTTTTGACGGTAGTAATATTACTGTTACAGTGGGTTTCTTTTTTGTTTTTTTAATAAATAATTTGGACCATTTCTCGATTTATGCGTGTCATCCTTTGAAGCGCAGGGGCCATGCTAATCTTCTTTCTGTATCGTTCCAATTTTAACGGATGTCCCGAAGGACAAGGTAGTTTTTTTTTTTTTTAAGAAAAATAAACTGATTTTTTTTTTTTTTTTTTTTTTTTTTTTTTTTTTTTTTTTCCCTTATTGCCGAAAACCGGGTCTGGCGTCCCTTACATCTGCACTGCAGCCTTGCAGGCTGGGTGAGGCACTCCCCGGCCAATCCCATCCCGGCCGCAGTCAAAATACAATCCTCAGGTTCCCAAGTCAGACTACCAAACTATCATCCAAAACCAAGCAATTCCTGAACCTATCTACAAAACAATCATCCAACATTCCAAAGTCATGCTTAGCCTCCACTCCCGGCCAATCCCATCCCGACCGCAGTCAAAATACAATCATCAGATTCCTGAGTCTGACTACCGAACTATCATCCAAAACCAACCAATTCGTAGATCTATCTACAAATCTATCTACGGAACAATCATCCAAATTCCAAGGTCATGATTAGCCTCCAATGACTAATATACAATCTATCTGACGATCGTCCTCCCATCCAGACCGAAGTTCCAAAACAAAGTTGAGAGGAAGAAAGAGCTTAAAACAAAACTTAAACAAAAAAAATTGAAAACCGTATCACAAGTGTGCCGTCTTGGGCCGTATCCGCAGCAACCAGGCCAGAGAAGTTACCCCATCTGTTTCCAAACCATTTAACAGACTTGGCTGAGAATCCTTGTTTTCTGAACCTGGTACTCCCAGTCCGCCGATATTGCTTGTTTTATTGCATACTTAACTTCAGCTCTGACCATCGGCGGAGTCAAATGCTCGTTCTTTCTCAATCTGGCGTTCCTGAGATTCCAGAGAGTCCACAATATGGCTCCTCTGATGGTCTCCTCAGCATGGRCAAATYGTACCTGTGGGGTCGTTCTCCTGGCAGCCGTCCCCAAGAGGATGAAATCGTCATCCCAGCGGGAATCCACAGCRGGGAGAGGAACACCCGACTGTCTCCACCAATTCCAAWAGGGCCTGGAGAGGTTACAGTGCAGCACRAAGTGCTGAATGTCTTCCATACGCGTCCCCGGGCACACACCACATTCCGGAGTAGCCTTTGCTGTTCTTCTAGCACACCAAGTTTTAGTAGGCAATGCCAGGTGCATGAGCAACCAAAGTAGGCTTGAGTGCTTACTTACCACCAGGTCCATCAGTTGTTTCCAGAATGCAGGAAGGGCAACAGATAACCTTGTCACCGTATCACCAACCCATCCTGTTCCCATCCATCTTCTTGCCACCAACCAATTGACATCTGTACGTGGTGTCATAATCAAGTATCCAACTTTAGTTGTATATTCAGATATCCCAACCAGCTCAGATTCATGCAAGGGGTGCTCCCACGCCCAATCTCTAGGGTCTATTGACAGGCTGAAAGCTGGCACTTTTAAGAAGTAAGGTCTGTAGCTTTGTTTTTGCTCCAGCACACAGACTGGCAGGAGTTGCTCTGCGGGTGGAAGGGGGAGCTGCTCCTCAGAGAGCTGCAAGGGTTCACCCAATGAGTCAGCACCCCCCCGCACTCGCCAGCAGGTGGTGGTAATCAGCATCGCCTCTGAGTAATCCTCTACCCTCCAGATACGATCCGGCACCTGTTGTTGGTTTGTCTTATATCACATCCCTTTCACTGGCCTGTGACCCATCCTCATTATGCTCACCCATTGTTGTGGAACGGCATCCTGCAGTTGTTGCAGGTGTTCTTCCCGACGCCAAAGTCCCTGCAATCGCGGAGCCAGATCTTCAGCAGTTTTCCAATCAGCGTTTGGTAGATCCCAGATATCTGCCACGGTGCCAATTCCTCACGACATCCATGCGTTCCCAAATTCCCCTGGCCCGAAGCATCGAAACGGCAATCCTTCATTGTTGAGCAAACAAGGGTTATTGAACAGCGGTTGCGTCATCAATCTTTCAAACACTAGCGGCGGGGGCTGCAGTTTTGGGCAGGCACCCTTCTAGGCTTTCAATATCCCTTCCCAGATGCCTGGTGGCAGTCTCTTCTTCTGATAGTCCAGGTTAAAGACAACTAGCCAAATGCAGCGGAGGTCTGTCCATTCTAGCCAAGACAGGATATAGAATTCTGCCAACTGCCTCCATGCCGTCAGAGGGTTTTGCAAAACAGCCCACGGGATCCATCTCACAAGCAGCGCGGCTATTTGCCGTTTAGGGTCCAAGATTGTCAGTCCTCCATTTCGTTTTGGTTGGGTTATGATGTCCCATGCAACTTTCGAGAGAAAGTTGTCGTCATTAAGTTCCTCTTTCCACAGATAATGTGTTAGCAAGCGGCGTATTGTTTGCAGCGACGGCTTATCCAGCTGATGAACAGCCCGGCGGTACCACAAGGTGGATAGCACCGTGTTATTAATAACAATGGCTCGACCAAATAGGCTGGCTCCTTTAAACTTCACCCAGGGCAGCAATGTCGAACGTAGACCTGCTATAGATGTTGATGAGTCTTGTGCCAGCTGTGGATCAAAAGATACTTGATGTCCCAACAACCTTTCCTGTCTACCCGGGGCCACAATCCTGAGTCCCCAGTTATGTGGAGGCTGCGCCCCCGGGGGTATGAGGACAGAAGATTTGGACCAGTTGACCTTGGCCTGCGATAGCTGACAAAACAGGTCCACAGTTTCTCTAAGCGCAAAGAAAGCTTGATCATTCAGAGGGGGAAAAACTACTGAGTCATCAGCGAATGCTTTTGATTTCAGCCTTTCTCCCGAAGGAAGGACGAAGCCTGGGATTGCTGGGTTAGATCTAATAAGAATATGCATTATCTCAACGTACAACAAGTACAGATATGGTGCCACTGGGCACCCTTGTCTAACCGAGCGACTTAGCCTGATCGGAGCCGACAAGACCCCATTCACGCAGACCTGGGAAGTAGCATTGTGCAGAAGGTTGTCCACAGCGTGCTTGTATTTCGGCCCAAATCCAAAGGCAGTGAGTGTTGTTTGCAGAAATTTCCAACCCACCCGATCATACGCCTTTGCTAAATCCAACATCGCTATGGCAAGACTCTCCTCCCCTGATGCAATCAGTTCGGCCAACTGTTCCACTATCATGACGTTATGCAAGATCTGCCTTCCCTGAAGGAAGCCTGTCTGCGTTTGGTGAATAAGTGATGACAAAACTTTTTGTAACCTGGCTGTCAGTATTTTAGAAAATATTTTGTAGAGCACCGGCATTAGTGTTATTGGTCTATAGTTCGCTATATCAGTTCGATCACCTTTTTTGAAAACAAAGGTGATGACCCCTTGTAGTGCAGAGGCCGGTAAGGATGCCCCATTCCAGACAGCCTGAAAAATCAACAGCAGATCAGGCAGCAAGTGCAGCGAAAAACCTTTAAAAAACTGAGTCGGCAGGCCGTCTAGCCCCGACGCTTTGTGCCGTGACAGGGATGATATCGCTTCGACAAGTTCCTGCATGGCAATGTCTGCTT